TTATTATTTCTAGCCGAATGAAAAGTCAAGATTGTGCAGAAAAGTGCTCTGACATGCCCAAAGAAAACGTCATTTTCCAGCAATACAATGCACCAGTACACACGGCAAAAATTGTAAGATAATTTTTAAGGAGAAAAATATTCAATTTGTAGATTGGCCGGAAAGGTCCCCAGACTTTAACATAATTAAAAATGTCTAGGGTCACTGTGTTTCTAGTGGAAGCCGACGGCGCTGATGAATTTGAGAAATGAAATTCAGGAAGAGTGGGCCAAATTTCCTTAAGAATTGATTCGTTCCCAATTGAATTGATGCATTAGGAAAAGATGATGCGTACACAGCATAGTAAGGAATTTAATTTGCATTAGGAGTCACAAAGGGTTGCCTAATAGCGAAAGCTAAGGTAAACAAAAATTTGTATTATTTGCCCCCTCAACACGACACACAATAATGACACATCTACACAGAAAAGAAACATTTTGAGCCCCGAAGATGATCTCAATAAAGATCGAAACGTTGGCACGATGAAGAAAATGTTTTTCTAAAACCTACGTCACACCAGACCGCACCTCACGATGTCCAAATAACTCTTTATAAACTTCCGATCAGAAACGAGGTGGGTGACCAAGCAATTCCTAACATAATTTAATTATTTTCAATTAATTAATCTTTATTTAAGGTACTGCTTGAGATAAAAAAGTCAGTATCGCGAGCAGGATTCGAACCCACGACCTTCGGCTGAATACGCCGCTGCTCTACCACTTGACCTATCGTGAGAGCTGTCAAAACCTTATTTAAATATTGATTAATTGAAAAGAATTTATTTGGTCAATCAGACCACGAAACCTAATAGAGATAATTTAATTATATTTTTTAGACATTTGTAAAAAAGCATTGTTTTGTAAAATAATATATAAATCTGTACACTTTAGAAACTCAAGACTGATGAGGGGAAATGGATGGCCCCGAGATCGATCTCTTCAATAAAACAAGTAAAAAACACATGGGCCTTATTAGTTCTAACACATCCTAAATTAAGTAAATAAAAAAACCGAATTTACGAAAAAACAAAATCATTCTTTAGAATTAAATTTTGCATAACGCATTCATTGATAAATAATCCATCAGGGGTAATTTTTAAATTAATAAACTATAAACTAACAAGTTGAGGCTATTGATATGATATCTCTAGGGCTGTGATTTAAATGCAATAAAAACAGACAAATATATGTAAATATATTTGGTAAAAAATGCAATTTAGAACTGAAAATACTATGAGAAAAAATAAGGAAAACTCAAATTCAAACATAATTGTATTGAAAAGAGAAACAGTGGCAGGAGGAACATCACATTGTTAATATTGAAAAAGAAAAACGCATAAAAAAAAGTTAAATGTAAAAATCCATTGTCTCATCCATCGAGACCCAGATCGGTCCATTTTCGATGAAGTCTATGGTTTTACGGAGTGTTTCATTGTATTTGAGATCCAGGTGAGAGAGGGTACTTTCGTGTGGAATAATTTTCCTTGTATATGTCTAAAAACAAAAGCACGACATAAATCGGTATCGAAACCGGACTTTACAGACCCAGCCCTTGTGGCACCTTGTGTCACAAAAGTTTGTTGAAACTTTGACTTCCTACCTTGTGTTTTGCTGTCTTTATGTGCTGTGTTACCAAAAACGTGAAGATGTTGATACAGGTTTATCACAACAAACACAGTATAAAACGCCTCCATCCCCTTAAAAGTCTCACTTTAAAAGTCAGGCACATACTTTTGAACAAGATATTTCATCTTCGCAGTGACTTTCGGCATTTTAGGAGTATTCAGTCCAGAACACACAAATAATGTTTCACGATGGAAAAAGATCAAACTATTCCAAGAGAACATTTACAGTGGTACAAACACTATTCCTTTCCACATTTATTCCAAGAGAAGCAAAGGCGACCGAAAGTTCGCGGAAAGAGGTGAAGCAGCAACTGAACACACACAATTTCGTTCATTATGTGGAAACTGAAGAAGGGAGCTCTTTTTTAAAGATTTTTTTTGCCTGGTCAGAAACATTAAAATTTGACCTGACAAATGTAAAAAAATATGCAATTACAACCCACTTATACAAAAATATGCATTTCTGGCAATACATAAGAAGAAGAAAAATAACTTTATTCTGGGACTGGGGTCCCCTAGGAATAATTTACACGAAATAAATAAAGAAAGTTCCTTCTATGAAGTTAAAAGTAAAAAAAAAGATAGAAATCGTGGCACAATGTATACCAATAAGGTAGGACAGAAGAAAAAATTACGAGAATATTAAACAAAAATAACAAATGTTAACGTGAGGTCTCTGCTTGGAGGGAGAGGAGGGAGGAAAAGGAGGCAGCGTGACGAATAGTTCCAGGGTTTAGGGGCTCGGATCAGAAAGGATCTTTCGAAGGTATGGGTTGTATGTTGCGGAAGGATAAGGTCGATTGGGGATGAGCGGGTCTTACGAGTAAGATGTGAGGAGTTGAATATATACACAATAATAAATAATAAATAATAATAAACAATAATAAATAATAATATATTCACAAATATACAAAATAAATATAGCTTAAAAAAGCCTCCAAATGCTTCAAAACATACACAGTTTGTTAAAACTGGATAGTTAGGGATGGTAACCAGGAAAAATATGCAAATGCATATATTTCTCAGCCCTAGATATCACCGATTTATAAGAAACGTTTCTTCGTGATACTTAAGTCAAAATATTTTAGTCACTTGTAATTACATTTTTGCAGATCATTTTGGTGTCTCTACCCTCTCTGTGTTGATCCGTCAGACGAGTTTCTGCATTTCGCTATCTTCAGTATTGGGTCTATGTGATTTTTGTGAAGTCAAGTCTCTTTTATAAGATCATTAGCAGTACGATGATTTTTTCGAACTTATCTTTGTCGTTGTATTTGGTGGATTAAGTCTGGCTGTTTGATGTTCGTCAGTCTTCTTCTTTTTAGTTGGTACGTCTATGTGAACTATTGTCAATTTGTTGGTTTATGTATTCTTTTAGTGTTAAATGGTGTTTGTATATTTTCAAATATTAACTATGTTTATTTTCTTCCTTTGTACATAGTAGTACCATGAACAACCAATTTATGTTGCTTTTTTTTTTTTTTTTTTGATTAGGTTAAAGTTGGTTTTTACAACTTCTGTGTTATTGTTATTTGTGTGTGTGTGTGTGTTCTTTTTCATTACGTTGAAGTTTAACTTCTGTATTGTTGCTCTTTTTCGTACTTTTTTCATTGGCTTTATTTATTTTTTTATAATTTGTACTAAATTACAACTATTTTCAAGTAGATAACAAGTAACAGTGAGCAAGGCAATATATACAAAATTAAAAACAAGAGTGGAGAAAATACCCATTTGTATTAATCCAACGTTACTAAAATATTGTCTGTTTAATTGATACTTGTGTCATTATCACTGTCACTATCATCACCATCACATCCTAGGAGATATCCCGGCCATTGTCTCTGGCTTATCTATGGTTTTGTAAGGCAGTTTTTTTATTGTTGAGAGGTAAATTAGAACGTTTGTCAGGAAGTCGTGCATAAGCTCCTGACGTTTCAATCGTGTGTGAGGATTCCACATCAGGCGTTTGTCGACGTACAGTCCGAGGTACAGCACCTTGTCCGCAGTTGGGAGAATAATATTATTTAAGAAAACAGGGAGATCTTTTTACAGAAAGTGAAGGTAATGTGGGTGGATTTGTCTGTGCTAAATTTCATCCTTTTCTTTTTACACCAAGACACTAGTTGTACGATGTGTTGTTGGAGGTTGGTTGAAGTTGGTTTTTGCAACTAAGATTTTTTTTTTCTTTTGTCTGTGTTTAGTGTAGATATGTTGTACAATATTTTCTGTGTTGTTGTCCATTATGTTTAGTGTTTCTTTTTCAAGTGTTTTGTTTCATTTTTCTTTCTCTTTGTGCTTTTTTATTAAGTTAAATTTGGGAAATAAATTTGCCCTGGACAATTGGTTGGATTACTGCATTAACCCCACTCTCCCCTTTTCACACCGTCACCACTTGGGCATAAAATTTCTGCATTTTTCTTAGATGAAATTAAAGAAAAGGGTATACCGCTTGAAAGCTTTTTAAACCAAGAAGTTTATTATGATAATAAGGTTGCAATTTTTTTACAAATTTTAAATTTAGCAATTTAACGCTGTTTGAAATTCGTTTTTGGATTTGTCGAAATCTTACTAGTTCGACTACGAGTAGATTTTTGAAGAAAATCAAAGAAAAACATGTTGAAAAACTGCAAAACAGTTGAGAATCGGACCATGTTTCACACATACTTATTTGTCTTTCTGGATTTATTTTCTAACCAAAAACTATACAAAGAAAACTAAGAGAAAATGTGTAAATTTAGTATTTTCAAGAGAGTTTAAATAAGTAATGTAGTAAATTTACAGTTTTTTGCATTTAGAACTTTTATAATTTTGTATATAATTTTGCGAATATTATCCTATAACAATTATATACACCTACATAAAACTGTTTTAATTTTTTTAAATTCGTATTGGAATTTATTTTATATTTCATTTTATCTATACTACAAAAAATTAAAAGTTAATTCTTATAGATCAAAGTTAACAAGACCAAAAAAAACCACTGAGAAAAAATATTTTACCTTTTTTGCTAATAGTGTTTAGTTATTTAATATTTTAAAAATAACTACATTATTGTCATGTAGTAAAGTATTTACTATATGTTTTTGTTATTTGTTAATACAAAGAAACTTTAAGAACAGTTGTAAGTAAATGAGATAATTAACTGGTTGCCAGGGTAGTTTTTGATGTTTTAACTAACTCTTGCGCCATTATTTCTTATTTACTGCAAAAATTGTTTGTTGTAGAGAAGATTTTAACATTGGCGAATTTCTCTAAAAAAATCAGACTTTTTCTTATCAATACGAACATGTTTTGTTTGTATTCTGCAATAAAATTACGTTCTAGAAAAATCGTGTACCTGGAAGAATTTTCCGCGTCGGATTGGCCCAGGAGGCGCAAATGCAGGAGACGAGGACGAGATACGAGTAGCCGGAGGACATAGCACATGAGAGTCGAGTTGCTTTGAAAGGGTCGATCGAAACTGGGCCCTGCCTTCAACTGATGCGTACTTTTCATCCGCGTCCCCACCAACCGACAATTGAACCAAGTAGCTGTTTGCTCGCCTGCCAACCGGAATTCAATCTCTCTCGTACTCACTGCCTCTGCCGGGTTTTCCTTTCAAACGAACCGTCAATTTTCCCACAATTACTTCATTATTTACTAATCACTTGGGCGTGAAATATACGTATTTGCACATTTTTCCCGGTCAATTAAAACATCCAGTTTTAACGAACTGTATGTGTTTTGAAGCATTTCGAATCAATTTAAGCTATATTTATTTTGCATATTTCTGCATATATTGCCATAAATGCATATTTTTGAATAAGTGAGTTGTAATTGCATATTTTTTTTTACATATCTAGCATATCGGTATTTGGCACGTCAAATCTTAATGTTTCTGACCAGGTAAACAAAAATCTCCAAAAAGAGCTCCCGTTTTCACATAATGAACGAGATTGTGTGTGTTCAGTTGATGCTTCACCGCTTTCCGCGAACTTTCGTTCTCCTTTCCTTCTCTTGGAATAAATGTAGAAAGGAATAGTGTTTGCACCACTGTACATGTTCTGTTGGAATAGTGTAATCGTTTTCCAACATGAAACATTATTTGTGTGTTGTGAACTGACTACTCCTACAATGCTGAAAGTCACCACAAAGACGAAAGTTCTTGTTGAAAAGTATGTGCGTGAGTTTTCAAGTGAGAGTTTTAAGGGCTATGCAGCAAGTTTTATACTGTGTTTGTTGTGATAAACCTGATCAACAACTACAGGTTTTTTGGTGGCACAACACGTAAAGACAGCAAAACACAAGGTAGGAAGTCAAAGTTTCAACAAACTTTTGTAGCACAAGCTGCCACAAGTACTGGATCTGGAAAGTCCGTTTTCGATACCGATTTATGTTGTGCTTTAGTTAGAGCGGACATACCCTTCCATAAACTAAGCCACCATGAATTCAAGGTTTTTTTTGAGAAATACTCAAGGAAAACTATTCCCCACGAAAGTACCATCAGGAAATCCCACCTTGATCTTATATACAATGAAACACTCCGTAAAATCAGAGACTTCATCGAAAATGGACCGATCTGGATTGTTGGATGAGACGGCGGATGTTGAAGGCAGATATGTAGTCAATGCAATCGTGGGAAAACGCTGCACAGACTCACCTAACAACCTCTCTGGCTGAAATGTGAAGAACTTCAAAAATGTAATCATGCCACCATTGCCAGACATTTTGATGAATGTATGTGTCTTCTTTGGCCGAGTGGGGTTCAACATGAAAATGTTATTTTGGTAATTTTAGTTAGTGGAAGTTTTCGCATATTTTCTATTTTAAATTGCATTTTTTACCAAATATATTTACATACATATGTGCATATGTCCCTGTTTTTATTGCAAATAAATCACAGCCCTACTAATCACTATTCCTATAAATAAAAAATGATCGAAGTATCGCATTAATATTCTCTCTATATGTGGTGATTAGTGACCTTTAGTCGATGATTATTAGGAGATCGTGAGGTGCGGTCTGGCGTGACATAGGTTAAAGAAAAACGTTTTCTTTATCGTGCCAACGTTTCGATCTTTATTTAGATCATCTTCAGAGCCTGGGATTACAAACATTGTTTAAATTTAACAAATACATGTAGGATGTGGAAAAAAAGTGAATTTATACAATGCAAAATATATTTTTATATTCAATCAAAGTGTTTCTATGGGGGACAGCCGAGTGGTTAGCATGAGAGACTCTCACGCCGCGGTCGTGGGTTCGATTCCCACCGTCGCCTCTGGCCCTTTTTTCCCGATAACCCCTAATTTCAACAACAACACATAAGAATTCGTCATGGCTAATATGCAAAGATCATAAGACAAAAAAAAAAGAAAAAAAAAAAGTGTTTCTACTCACTCAAAGTGTTTGTTTTCTAACAATTGTGCCATTCTTGTGTGTCTTGTTGAGAGTACCAGTGAGATATTGCTGTTTTATGTTTATATATTATAAAGACATTTTATATGAGGCTGGGTACAAAACAAAAAATAAAAATCAAGGACTTTGTCATTAACAACACACAGAACGTCCCTAGACTTCCACGGAAACAGATCTCAACTATTTAATAATAGTGCAATGCAATACTCGCAGTTCCAGTCTGACCTTCACCGATCCGATATTCGTTTGTAATTGTAAATAATCCTATTACCATAAAAATGACCTATTAAATATGTGTTTCCAAATAAATTACTGAATATCTAAATACTAAAATATCAACCTTTAAAACGGCAAACCAATCCATAAAGCTTCTTCCTACCGTCCAATCATCCTACTTCATTTCTTCTTAAAAATAAGAAAAGATCCTTTTCAAACGATTGAGTCTGACACTGTACTCTCTTAACCATTTCCAAAATCACCAATTCGCTTTCATCCGAAATCACAATCAAGCAAGTGCTTTGCTATTTTTTATCACATATTCTCATCTCTTGAGTACAAATAATATTGTGTGGGGGCATTTCTTGATGTGTCTTAAGCGTTTGGCACTTTTACTTAATTAATTCACCTTGCCACCTTTACCTAATCATTCCCTTCTAAGTACCAAAACGATTCTTCGATATCGCCAAGTAAAGACTATTCCGAAATGGCGACTGGGAGTAGAGTGCCACAGGATAGCGTGCCGCGACGAACCCTCAACTTCGCTTCCTTTTGCGATGAATCATTTGTGTTTTCCTCTGATCCTGACTGCAATTGCTTCGGAAGAGCTCCTAGCACATGCATAGCAAATGCACCGAAATGCAGCCTTACTTGCAGCCGACACAAAAAGACACCAAAAAATCGATTCGAACATACGGACTTGAATTATAGAGCACTGCTAAATTAACCAACATCCAAATAACACAATAATTCCAATGAAAAGTCCTCAGATCAGTGAACGCTCTCTACTACGTCTCCAAAACCATCCTCCATAATGACCCCTCTTTGAAAAACTAAACATCGAAACATTTTCCAGGCTCTACAGTAATTTTTCTTACACCCAACCCTTTAGCCCGATCTATATCCAACATTATACAAGCCCGTCATGAAAAAGGTGAGAGATCTCGTAATCAATAGGGAACTATAGAGAAAAACTAACTCCTCTCACGATATTCTATATAATGTTAATGAATAAAAATTGTGGCACATTATACAATGTAAAAAATGTATATGTGTTGTTTGTTAATCGACCTCCACATTCATGGAGGTCAGTAGATATGAACTGACATAACAGCCCAACCTGAGGCGATGCTGTTCATCGCTCTTTCTCCCATTAATTTTAATCCTATGTACAGTCTTTATAAATAGCTATAATTCTAGTCAAAATACTCTGCGATAATAAATGTTACCAATAAGAGAACAAAATTGTTGAAACCTCAATCATATGGATTTTATTAGCGAGATGACGGTTTTCACTATGTTTAATGTAATTTACTGGCCATGTGCTTCATAACCTTAAACTTAAGATGTCCTTACTATAGTTTCACCATGTTTCACCATCGTTTTTTGCACTCTTGGGGAAGCCCTGATGATGGCACTATAAGTTGCCGAAAGCTTGGTGAACCTAACTAATGACCTCCATGAAGATTGAAACTCCACATAAAATGTATACAGTTAGTAATTAAAAACTATTTAAAATATTTTATTATATATTTATTTCTATCCTGTACATGAATTATACACATTTGAAATTGTTATTTACACTATAACGGGAACAAAAAGTGACACAACGGCCAGCACAGCGCCCGGAGGTCAGGTGTTATGAGAAGCTAATGTTGGCATTGAATTTGTTATAGGTGTGTGTAGTATTTAGTGTTAATTAACGATTATTTAGGGATCGTGAGACCTTATCAGACTTATCTTTAAATAATCATTTGTTATAGGGTTAAGAGCAAGGAAGTCTCAAGGCTATCGTCGTTTGAGGCGACGGGGTTCTTTGGATGGGAGGTAGTAGAGATGGCTTGAGCAGTCGGTTTGGGATAGCTTGAAAGATTGGAGTGAAACTTGAGAAAGTGGAAACGGATCAATGCTTTAACGAACGGAATGTTAAGGTTATTGTATAGTTAAGTTACAGCAGAACAAGGAGTTGCACGAATTGTGTATTAACCGGCTTGGTGGTATCCCGCAGCTCTGTTCCGTACGTTCCAATATGACGCAGTAATGTTTTGTACAGCGTTAGTTTTTTTTTACTGTCATGCCTCAAGATGCTCCTTGATATTGGAGGTGGATCGAGTAGGGTTGGAGTTAGAAGATAAAAATGCGGTAATGTCGTAAAAGGTTGTTCGGATCTTGTTGGGATGCATCGGTAGAATAGTACACAGGACTTGTGGGACGCCAACCTAAATCGGTCTTCATACAAAGAGCTCATTGACTTAGTTTGAAGCACCGATCTGTTAGGATTTTAGGATTTGGATAAAGGAGTGCTTTTATTTATTACTCCTCTACCTCCGAGAGACAGGCCCTGTAAAAAGCTTGGGGACACGTCTGAAAACGTACTTTCGTCGGAAAGCAAGTACTACCATTAACCCTGAGGCACTGCTAAATTGTGAAATGACAAGGAAAAACCAAATTCATGAGAATAAATGACATGTAAATCTAAGATGGATATTAGGCGTCTTTCAAGGATTTTGAACATTACAGCGAGAATGTGTCCGGGAGGATTGTGGGGTTTAGGTATAAAAGAGAAGTAAATATTTAAAAAAATTGACTGATCAAAATTTACTGATCTTTGCTGCGTCCGTATATTCTGGAGTCGATTGGTATAAAGCGTGTACATCCACTCCAGGCAAGCCAACACCAAATTAGCTTTATAAAATTTATTATTTATATTTTAATTTTCGATATGCAGTTAGTCATTCTACTATATTGTTCTAAAAAATCATATTATTCCATGAAACACTATAAGATTATTGAAAATTGCATAGTTGATCCTCTTTTATTAAGCTGTATGTAAACATTTCAATATAAATTCTTTATCAATTCAAAAGTTATCTCAAACACATAGCCGATA